CCCACTTGGCATGAAAAATACATCTGATGATGGCTCCACTTTAAGTAAACCGATCAGGAAGCTGAATCCACCTTCCAAATCAAAACCGCCCCTTTAAAAATGTCCGCCTGCAGCGGGCAGCCGTGGGAGGATTGCATTTCGAGGCCGTTGTTTAGGGGCCAAGTCTCGCCTAGGATGGGCCAGCCCTTGGATGTGCGGGGGATGGGGGGGGAGCTGGTTCTTCAGGTTACAGATCGATCAGACTTCCTTTAATTGCAGTGTGAGGTTCCTCTAATGTGCCATTAAAGTATTAGGAGGCGGCCATGTAATAAAGCACATAAATGAGTAGCCTGCACAGCCTATGCAGAGATGCCTGTCCCTGGCCAGCGCGCTGCAGAGAAGGTCCCTTGCTCTGTGTGGAAGCAGTGGTCTCTCTGCAGAGGTCTGACATGCGACACCCCCAGCCCCTCCCCCCTGAGTCGGAACTAGCCTCAATCCAATCAGCAGAGAGTCTTGAGTAGCCTCTACAGCAGGGGTCTCAAACCTCCGGCCCTCCAGCTGTGGGGTGGAACTACAAATCCCATGAGGCATTGCAAGATTCTCACAGCCACAGACATGAGTCCCGGAGAGAGATGCATCATGGGATTTGTAGTTTCACCAACAGCTGGAGGGCCGGAGGTTTGAGACCCCTGTTCTACAGCCATGTGGAAGAGCCTGTGCCCTGCCAGCATGCTACAGAGAAGGACCCTGGCTCTTTAAGAGGGAAGCAGTGGCATCTTTGTAGAGGTCCCCCCCCCCCAATCAGCATGAGCTTTGCTGATTAGTGTGTTCCAAATCTGAGTCCACCCACTGCTGCATCTGAGCTAGAGCTCTCCAATCAGCAGGGAGCATGCGCTTTGGGGTCTGACTCGGTGAGACAGACCTCTGCGGAGAGACTACTGCTTACACACGGAGAACAAGGGACCTTCTCTGCAACATACTAGCAGGGGACGGGCTTCTCTACATAAGCTGTGAAGGCTACTCAGACTCGTGCTTCCTGCTGATTGGAGCATTCTAGCTCTCTCTCAGCAAGAAGGGGGGGGGGGGGGGTGAGGCCTTGACAAAGAGAACA